GTTCAACCCGTCGTACAGCCAACGTTGCTTTGAAGCGCCACGGTGATTTTAAATAACAGTAAAATGCGTGGCACATCCCAAAAATCAATCAGTGCCGAAAGCATTCGTAGCAGCCCCATCTCTAGCAAATACAAAAAGCTCGCCATACCTTGCTTCGTAACCAGCAACACGAACTGGCCTTCTTGCTCGACTTCTTTCGAGAAGTTGAAGAGCTTCCTGTTTCGCAACGACACCGCATAGCTGCTCACGGGATCCGCTCACTACAGGCGATTCGGAGCACAGCATTCTGTTCCTGGAAAATCCATAATTTTTCGCTGGGTTTTCATAACCCTAGTCCTTCACTCCGGTTGATTATTCAGTGACACCACTACACTTTTCACTGCACCACCACTTAAGTTATAATATTTTACCGTGCTCGTCTCGCACTTAGTGAGTAGTTCTCTTGGTTTTTCTAGGTATGGGGTATTAGAAGCGTCAGAACTACAACTAACCGATCGTAGGACGCCGAAAGACTGCGGGACATCAGTGTTGGTATTCTAGTAGCCTTTGGTGTGCTAGCAGTCTCATGCATAAAGGAAACTCCAAGACGACTTCGAGTTGCCGAAAAACAACGCCTGGAATGAAAATGTATATTTACTGGTATTTTATTTTGAATCGAAACTTGTATTCTAAAAATTCAATTGAACATTTTCTCAATTCTAAAAAATCCGGATGAACACCCAGCTCAGCTCCCGCTTACCTGTTGTCAACAAAATCAGTTGCGTCCGCTGAGGAATGATCCATATGAAGAACATTTTTATAGAGCGAGTCGTTCAGTCTACGAGTCATCAAATCTTCATCAAATATTGACGACGTCATCGATGTGCTAGTCTGAAATCCACATAACCTATTTTTATGAATAAGACAAACAAGGAAGGAAATTGAGAAAAGTTTGGTTTGGTTTCAGCATCATTTATTAGCCTACTTTACCAGGAAGGTCTTTCAGGGCGTGCCAAGCTTTTTGAAAACGGTCTTTTGCATGATATAGGGGCACATGCGGGAACCACAGAACCATGGTTCAATTTTTCCTGAACGGCCCTCTGAATACCAGAAAAGGGGTCCCTAGTTCGATTCCTCGTGGTGACAAATTTTTGCATTTCGAGTTGACGTTCCAAAATTCGCGCAAAATGGAGTTAGCATGAATAATTAGTCGTAATCGCATGATTCATATTAGGGACCGTCAGTAAGCCCTGGTACACCAGAGTCAACCCTGCGTTGCGCAGTTCAACGGCCACGTTGCGCAGTTTCGCCCGATTAGACACGTTCTCTCGCGCGAACATTCACACTCGCATGCTCGAGCCGTCTGCGTCTCCGCCCATACAGCGTGCGTTGAGGATCTCTCAACGTGCCGTTGCGAACTGCGCAACGCAGGGTTGACTCTGGTGCAATCTACCTGACTTCGTATAATTGGTGCTAAGAGTATGGCAGACTTCCAAGCACGCCCCTTGCTCGGCTGTCAACCCCGTTTCTTCCACGCAATTTATATTCCGCAAAAGTCCTATTGTAAGGGTTACTGACGTCCGTAATCACAGATATGCGTTCACTGTTATTCATGCTGGACCTTGCATTATATGCGCGATTTGGACACTCCAATCGAAACTGCAAAATTTGTCACGTACGAATACCAAGAGGAATCGAACTAGGGACCCCCTTTTCTGGTATTCAGAGGGCCGTTCAGGAAAATTAAACATGGTTCTGTGGTTCCCGCATCTGCCCCTATATCATGCAAAAGACCGTTTTCAAAAAGCTTGTCACGCCCTGAAAGACCTTCCTGGTAAGTGAGTGAGAGAATAGCACGCAACTACTATATTAGGCTAGTACTTGTAATGTGCCCTGTATTTCGAGAAGAGACCACAAAAGGCATTTTTTGCGAAGTTGAAATTTGTTGTGAAAGTTTGCAAGTACTACCTGAAGAAAATATGGAAAGTTACGAAGATCGCATAGATCAATTTCAAAATTTCGTCAGAATTCTCAAATAGTGAAATGCTTGTAGTTAAAACTCCCATTGCAAGAGTCACGTCAGTGGGGTCGGGTGGGGTTGCCCTTGCAAGGGATGAGGAAGGGGAGAACGTGAGGACTCGAATATTACCCAACGCAAGATTGATCCTAGCGGTGCACGGGTCATTATAACAACATATTCAAGTAATTCAGTGCGCTCCACAGTTGCGCTGACTACAAAAAGTGTAAGATCGCCCAGAAGCCCGTCATTTCATCACCGCACTTTTTTACGGCCAAGTACCACTATTTTCAGAATTTCGAAAAATCCCTTTCCCTGGCAAAACTGTGCACACAAGTGATGGCTAAGGAATAAGGCAAAGAGGAGTCTCTCTAGACTTTGATATTTCATGAACCATATGAACAAAATACTCCCAGGAAATTCCTTCCTTTTGGAGCTATTGACCATTTTGGACAGCCTTCGTAGACGAAAACGGCTCGCGCTTTGTATCAGTCAGCCGTCCGCGTTGCTACATAAAAGGATAAAAGGATAAAGCATTTGCCGTTGATCAATCCCTTTTGGGATGCGGCACGCATTCTACTTCCATTTGTACATTCGTAGTGGCGTTTGAATGCGATGTGGCCTATACAATGACTTGCGGGGGCCAGCCGATGTACAAGTCAGTGTTTTTTATCCTCCCAGACAAGTCTGGTACCAATTAACCGACCCCGGAGGGATGGAAGGCTTGGTTGGCCCGGGCGACTCACGACCCAGGATTTGATCCCCGGACCGCTCGCGTGGTAAGCGCGCCACTTGTCCACTACACCACTTCCGCCCTTTATAAAACAATATTACCGTTTGATTCAGGCTCTACACTAGGAGGGCCACTGTCTTCAAGGACCTAATTAGAATTTGTGTCAGCTGTTTAAATTGTATAATAATTGAATGCGGATCGGAATTCACCTTGCTGAGGTAGTCTGCACAGATCCCTTCAGATTCGGATGATTCTGAAGAGGTGGATGTGCATGGAAGTGGACAGTATTGAGCAGTTGGCTGAAAATGGAACTGATCAAGAAAAAGTGTTTAACATTTTACAAATTCGTAGCAGCAATATTTTCGAAGATCACCTTACCTTTAAACATGTACGGAATGCCTCTACGACATCGATGGGTGGAGGTGAGGAATGGGGAATGAAGTGAGTTGGAGGTGTGAATTTGACGAGATACGGTATTTTAGGTGGTACCGAAGATGCTATTTCCCGACGAGACCACGTGCTTTTGGGTAAAGCACGGGTGGAGGTGCGGGGCTGACGGATTTGACAAGAGCGTTGCGGGCGAGTCCGTTTTTTGAGCGAGTCCTGAAAATCAATTGATCGATTCGTGAAGTCCATCGATATTGATCCGTTGGCCTCCTACCTCATATCTGTGGAAGGAGAACGTAGACGACTTTTCATACTCGGTGCTGCTTTTGAGGCGTCAATTAGCAGACTCTTTTCCTCTTGCCGTTTGCTAAGATCGTACTTGCTCTGAAGAATAAGTAAAAGAAATGGTAAATAAGGAAAAAGTGAAGGGCGACTCGCATCTGAATCGACTTACCGTAACCTTCGTTGGATCGTAATCAGTGACTTTAGGAGGTAGCCGCTCCAGTGATGAGAATACCAGTACGTTTTCACCACAAAAGCGAATGATGTCCTCGTTCAAGATGGCTTCCACATTGGCTGACGAGCCTGAACATAGCGAGGATTTAGGCGAGGAGAAAATATTGAGGAAACTTGATAGCAATCATAGGCAATCAATGGATGTCAACGAATCAACGGCTGTAAGAGGTCTTTCTTTGGGTAGGCCAGAATATCGTGGATGCCTAGAAGCGCAGCATCTAGGATGCGAACTTGTCCATAGCCATAGTGCTACGGTCATCTACATTTGTGAGACCAGAACCGTGTGTAAGTGAAGGTCTTACACGCAATGAAACTTTCTTCATAAACCTGAAATAAATTCGGAGGCCTACCACGAATTCACAAACCCCAAAGACAGTCATTTAAAGTGGACTTTCATTTTCCTGTTCGTTAGGAAGGCGCTTGAAAGGTAAGGATGAGCAACACAGCGAACCTCGCACTGGTGTAGAATTGCCCTAGGGTGTAAGGGGGAAGGGGCGAACGAGTACCAGCACTGCCTCCACGACGCCAAGTGAAGAGTAGACAGCTTAGTGTAGATTAAGCCTGCCAATCTTCCTTGTAACACATGGCAGCCCTTTCCACAACGTCACTCTACTCAAGATTTGAAAAAGAGTGCGCTCATGACGAATCCTCAAAGATTAGGAGGGCTACATCCGGCGCAGTCTCACATAGGTTGGCCTCAATAATGTTGCTATTTTGCTCCCAGGCTTTTGGGGCAGTGACCTTAATCTCACCAATCCCCCTTTGGTTTCAAGTTATAAATCGAGTTAAGATAGCTCGATAAGATCCAGATGAATATATAATGCGATTGAAAAATCTTTAGGAATTTGCAGAGAAGCTCACTGTTTAAGGCAGGCCGTCGTTGCCGCTTCACTGACTGCTCTCGGGGCTCGATCGACCATCATCCGCTCCCAGGCGGACATCGGCCGACGAAGACCAGGTACTGACACCTTGAAAACAATACACTCAATCCTTTATCATAATTCAGCCCCAATTTCATGCATTTTGGATAAACCTTGGATAAATCCCTCTCTTAAGCAACCTGATACATTTGAAGATATTAATCACTCCAGCTGTTTAGCTCTGTCATTAGTCTATTTCCTTACAAATAATCTTGTTCATGATGCTTTCTGTTTGGTAAAATAAGCAAAAATAATAACATAAATATGTTTGATGCAGCGTTGTTGCGCGAGGTACCTAAAGTAAAAATCGTAGGTCCCAAGCGCCTTTCCACGCATTTTGAGACACGAAAGTGGCCTTTCCACTGTTGTAAACCCAGAATTTGTTTGGAGATGATCATATGATTTGATCGCGGAATGTGCCTTTGAGCTTAGCCTCCACTTTAACCCAAACATCTTAGTCAGAGCTAATATAAGTACAACTAATCCTACAATAGTTCCAACCAGGGTCGGTCCTATCGTTGCTACTTTTCAAAAAGTTTTTACGACCCCCCTCCCTCATGAAATGTTTCATACGACCCCCCCTCTTTCAAACAATTTTTACCCCAAAAAATTACCGTCGAGCGGGGGGGATATACGCGCGCTGAAACGGCAAATTTTCTCCCGCTCCCCACTCATCACATGCAACTTCTTACAACCGAAGCAAGTACGACCCCCCCTCTACAAACTCATCAAAATACGACCCCCCGTTGCTACTTGTAGCAACATAGGGTTGACCCTGGTTCCAACTCCGAGTCCTGGTCCTATCTATGTAGATCAGCAGTGTTTTACAACTTATTTTGGGGGAAAATGACAAAATAGTAAGGGAGCACGTCCAACGAACCGGTCGCTTATCCAAATAATCGCTCTGATCCACTGAAGTGCTCGCGTCCGTACTACACACACCAGAATCAGCCGTGGAATGTGTTAGCAGATTTTGACCATCGACTGGAAACATTGAAACTCTTTCATAGAAAAAATGATGAAGAACTTGTAGAAGTGAAGTTCAGGCCACAATAAAGTATATAAAGAACTTAGGATATTTATTCAACGTGGAGCCCTTTGACGACAACAAGATCGTGCAGGCAGCTACAGAACAACGTGATCGTTAGGAAAATGACAACAGCTTCTCAGGAGCGAATCACAATTCAAAACTTTTGGCCTTTTAGCAGTATTTTCTTGATTAGTGTGCAGAGACCAATACTCTCTCCCTAAGAGCTCGATATGTGAAGTGACCAGGCCTGGTAGGGCCCTATTTCAGGACTCTGACCCTCTAGACCAAAACTGTAGAGTCTGTAGTACAGATTTAAACGCGTGAGATTGAAGACAGCCTATTAGCGCCAAGGTAGAGGTGGCCATGGTTCAGGGATGATGGTTGGAAAACGGTCCAGAACCCAGGAAAAAGAATTCTCTTTTGACCGTTTATTTCTGCTGATGTAACTCTCACCGGTGCTGCCCTCTTAAATGCTGATGCTCTCTCCGCAAGGACGGCTCGGCTAAAGTAAGACAGTGGGGGGGGGGGGAGTTAATTAGTAGGCTTGCGCAGGCGCGAGCGGCCCGGGTGTGGCCCTGCTAGGGAATGCGGTCCTGCTAGGCCTGGGGGCATACTCTCCGCTGCAAAAAATGCGCATTGTCCCGCACCCATTGAGGGGCCCGCCAGCTTTCGACTAAATATATTTTCTCCTTCCTCGACCTCGAAACTGATCGTGGAATCCCGGATGAATGATTTTCGGTCTAGATGTTTCCGTAGAGGTCAACTTTCATCAATCATTGCTATTTTTCCTAAAAAAACGCATTTCCTCACCTAGTATACATTAGCCAATGGTGCTGTCGGAGGGCGGTTGGCGGACAATGGTCGAGCGCCCGGTAACCGCCACTGTTGTTCGTCGTCAATCCACTGCGCTCTTTCACGGACGCGGTTGGCAACTTCCGGCGGAACAAAGTTCTCGACAATAAGAAGTCTGAAAAAAATATCTTTTTGTGTAATTACATATGGGGTAGGACGAAGAGAAAGGAGTGCTTTTAGGAATCAAGAGGATTGAGTACTAACAATATAAAATAAAAGCCACTATGAAAAACGTCATGGGATGTGATGGTAATGCGCCGACGGGTTCACCCTGATTCATGTCCGAATCGGTTTGCCTTCTCGCCATTTCAATTGGGTCGAATTTCGCGATTAACTTCTACAACAAATGACAGCGTAGCTCTCAAGGGCACATTCCACAGGTACGTAAGTTGATTAATACGGTTAAAATATGATCAGTGCTAAACGAGCGATGCCGAATAACTCGACAGTGAAGAATTAAGGAAAAGAATCCGCTGAAAAGGTTTTTTTAGGATGGTCAAATGGTAGAGACAAGGACAAACAGGATAGGGAATAGAATCGAAGAGTCTGGGGATGAGTGATATTCGGAAACGGAGGTGTCTGCAACAGAAGGCGTTCATGAAGGAGTACGAGGTACTTAGATTTGAGTCACAAGTTATACCTTCCAGTGAATCGATTTCAAAACTTTCACGACCCCCTTTCACCATCCCCTTTATGGGGTCTCTATACGACACTCCAAAAGCAACCGTGAGAGGGCTACACCCATACAACCCTCATTATACCCCCATCCCCGCGTCACCACATTCACCATTACTGTTTCTGTAATATTGGGTTGTCCCATAATTCCTGTCCGATTTTTGATCAAATTCAAATTTCTTCAAGTCGAATTAGTGTCATTGCGAAATATGTTGGTATGTCAAAGAGTGCATCTAGACCGTTAGCCAGGACATTTTGGAAGGTCAAACCCGCATCGGAATAACTGAGTAGAAGTCGAAATAGATCAATGACAATAACGAACGATTATGCTTTATGATCCTCAAATAGACGCTGTTGCAAGGAGGACACTAGAGAAGATCAGCGCTGTGTTTGGCTCAGTCTCTGCTACTGATCGGTCACTGAGCTGGAGGTTCGGTCGCAATGGCAAAGACAATACGAGCTGTGAAAATCAGCCTCATCCTGGGCCTCCACTCACTTTCGATGAGGACCCCTTGCGCCATGGATTGGAAGTGCACACGGACGCTACTACCAGGGTATTGTAGCAGACACCTGGGCGCAGCCGATGCACCAGCACACGCCATCAGGATGAAGTGGGCGGCAGCAGAATGAAGACTTGATGGAAACCATATGCACCGACCAGCCATGACCGAGAAGCAGGTCTGACCCTCTGGGGGAATTTCATTCTGTGACCTCATTAGCAGAGCGTTCCCTAGTTGATCACTAGTGGGGATGAGTCATGAGTTCACTACGACAACAACACGCAGCACGCCTGATGGCTACCTCGCAGCCAGGGCTCACCAGCTCAACAAAAGCCCGAACTCCGTGGTCAGAGAATATTGCTTTTGATTTGTTAGATGACGTCGACTGACGAAAGACGCTTGACTTCACATTGCAAAGATAACTCGCTACGTTCTGAGGGAAACTGGCTGGACCACGATACCATGTCCATCGTATAGCCCTGGCATCACTCCATCGGGCTACCCCCTTCACAGTGCCTTGAGGCAGCAGCGGCGAGAGAAAAAAGTCACTAAATACAACCACAA